TTCAGGAATTGCAGTCGAGTTGAAGATGTAAGCAAGCAGAAAAACTTAGAGAATGATGTTTGAGTGGTTCAACAGACATGATCGTATACATAATTCATGTGCTGCATTAATGTTTTATGCAAATGAATATTTATGCACATCTCGAGGGGAGTATGTGAATGAACAATGAAAGGCATTGTTGGAGAAGAACAAGAAGACGTAGCAACATAAAACACTGAAATGCACGCATGAAGTATCTTTCTGTCCATCGTGAAGCATTCAAAACATCATGCTTGAACGAGCCGAGCCGTCTCCTTCAATGGGACTAACCAAGCAAGCCACTGATAAACAAGGCAGGCAGCTTCATCAAAGTGTTCTAAAACCTAGTTATTCCTTTCCATATCACATTTTAAAATAGCTAAGACTTTTTTAGCCATTCTCGCCGTTCTTGCATAAATGAATCACTGGATATGGGGCATATAATAGTCTGCTTTAGGCCCGATGATCTGTAGTACTTTATATAGAAGATAAGCATTCATCTAAGGCAATTACGAAGAACGAAATGAAATGAAATGAAATGTTTGTTCGAAGATGGGCGATAGATCATATTCTCAAGTTAGTTGACAGACACAAGCATTGCAAATTTTTCAAGTAAAAACAAATCATCAGCGAGAAATAAAGCCAATTTAAAAGCTATCTAGATATAATCTTGCAAACAAGCTCACCAGCCAGCATAGTCACTTTTGCGTTAGCTTAGCCTTTCGTAATCTCAGAAATCTTATATGCTCTGTGCATCACAAGTGAATATATCCAAATACGACGTATAAATTCTTTTGCGTATGTTCATAAATACACAAATGCAAACAAGCATATCAGAACTTAACTCGCATACATCAACATCACGATTACATCTTCTCATTTATTTAAACAACGCTCGAAAAGTTCTAAGCAAAATCAGCACGAACGACAGAATCTATCTCATCGAGCAAGTCATATATGGGATCCTTTAAAAATATCCAGTACAGTACAAATTACTACTTGTTACTTACACATCGAGCCGATGTTTTGTTGATCGATGTTAGCAATCGGCGCAATGTCTATTTTGTAGAGTTATGACTATTTATTGGATTGGTATTTGGCTACGTTTAATTGTGCAAAGTGTTCACGGNCGAGCATTGTGGCCAGCAACGTTACAAAAGTTTGATAGCCTGCTTACCAATCCAGGTAATCTAGGTAACAATACAACAACGGCTAAGACCATACACATACAAAATCAATAACAATCAGCATTCATAACTTCATTCACTATTGTTCTATGGCAGTCGTTTTGTTCACGTAATAATCAAACGGATGAATATTTTCATGTAAAGATACCCCAATTTTGCAGCTATTCCTCTAAAACGCAATACCGCATCCTAAACATAGAAGCTGTCACACAAGCACATAAGTATCTAACTAACCATCTAACTAATCAATATATCAAATATCATCTATGATCAAATTTTTAGATCGAGCGTTGCCTCGCGAAAATTTTCCTAATCTAATCATAAATACATACACAAATGATCATTGATTATCAAACAGGTACACGTATATTATAAGATATTCATTATAGACTACACATTCTCTGATGACAGCACTATTGGGATATGAGTGAAAGTGCAGCTAATGATTATCTGCCTGTTTTGTAAGCTATCTTTTGGTGCTTTTTGACGATGAATATGTAATGATGAACGAATGAATAATGCTATTTCTGTATATCTCACAAATATTATAACAAGCACGAATTTCCACGTTTGTTCTCGAAAACGCACTGCATTCAATCGCTCGCGTATGGGCATATGTTCAAGCAAACCACAGCTGTGTATGCGCGCTTATCAAATGCGCTAATTTGATCAGTGAATGCTAAGCTGAGAAATTCGATCAGTGAATCCATCAAACAACTCACTGCAAAGTCATCGATTAAAACTGCTAGCAGTTGAACGAACGCCTGATCAAAAATTGTGGTAGAATCGTCATTGACCAACCACATCAAATAATCATGATGAACAGTTCAGTGAATTAATGAATATGGTAGATGAATTAATAAGGGCAATCGTACTGAATAAAGGAAATATGGATGGGAAGCAAAATGGATAAAGAACATTCAGCCATAGATAAGTAGAGTACGTAAGCCATAAATAACATCAGCGCGTTCAAAGCAAAAAGTGAATCTATCCGTGATGAAATTACTCAAAGAAAGACATACGATCCATAAAAGAGAAGACTGACTGATTCATTTGTATGCAAACGTCCAACAACTGCAAGTATTGGATTATAGCAGTAATGCTTTAGATAAGGCTGTGTGGTGTAGCGCACAACATGCAAAATCTTCATTTGGATTGCATGTGAATATATGCGGGGGTATGGATGCATGGGTGCAGTGTCTTCGTAGCAATAAAGCAAATTGAATAATGCAAATGCTTAAATCAGCACACTTAAGTCCATCTATACATATACATTCCATCTTCCTACGCAAAAATGCTTCAGTGATTGTTTTGCGATTGCAATGCAACTGAAAATGTCATCTATCGTCTTAACTACAACTCGATTAGACTGATGAATATAAAAATTTTCAGTGAAACATAAAGTTTCTNTGAAGATCGATCGTATCATCAACGACGTCAATGCTTTCGTTAGATTCCGTGGCATCAAAATGATTGTTTGTAACTCCTCAAAACTGAATTTCAGTGCATCGGTTGGACGGTTCAAAGGAGACAGACGAATATGGTCAAGGATAAAAAACTGGAATGATTCGATACAAATTATGTGGAGTAACTTCGCTGATAGTGAGCCAAAGCGTACAAAATCGCTTTGTCAATGAAACGAACATGACGACAGCGAGCGAATCAACGGGAAAAGTGAAATCGAATGTGATTTTAACCCTAAATTCTGAGTGCTCATGTGAACAGACGCACGCACTTCTACACATAAACATAAAACAATAAACGCACCTTCGAAAATACACATTTCTAAGTTTATACTCGTGAACTCGCGAATATACTCGTGAAATGCAACAATTCAAAGCAGAAATAACTAATGAAGAAACAACAAATGAAAACTGAAAGTAATAAAAAAAAGTAATAAAAAAAGCGTACGACATGAATAAATAAATCAAAATTCGCAACCTACTTCAGCACTCATGTCAATCGACCACAGTCTTTGTTTCACGTCGTCCTGATAAACAAAGTGATCGTCAGCGAATGTCGGTGTTTTTGGTATCAACGATGCTGGATCGCTCATCAGTTGATCACGACCGTTTCTTGCGATGCTCATGCGATCAAACGCATTTCAAATCTGAAACACAACATCCACCGATCGATCTCCACTTGAAATTTCAGTGTGAAAAAATGTTGATACACATCAAGCTATACATTAAATATCAATCACACATCGATGAGGTATCTAAACAACTCTTTTGACTAATTGAAAACCAGATCACCCAATCTCTAGTTCCAATTTAATCGACTGATGTTCAATCCGAAAACAGAAACTGATTAATGCATAAACAGAAACTTTACAAAAATCAAACGCAATCATGAAGTGAACGATATTTTTGAACATAATACTTCATGGATGCTTTTTTCCATACCTAAAATAAAATAGCACTGAACATGTGAAAAGCAAAGCAACAATGGCGCAGTTAAACGTGAATAATATTCACAAAGAGAGCACTAAATGCGACTGCAATGCATGCGTCATGTTGAACTGTATGATTCTTATATTGTGCTTTATATATGGTGAATTTTTTATTCAACTATACATTCAAAAATCAATTTCATCACACACACACACAACAAAATTCGATTCCATTTTCAGCCATGTTAAAATATCTATTCAATACAGTTTTTACTGCAGTTGTTTAAACATCCACTTATGATTACCGAGAGTATAACCAAGCATCAAATGGTCTACGCTTACGACTTCGAACATGCATGGCTTAACGATAATTTTTATTCAGCAAAAGCACTGAGCACGTGAAGGGATATGTATACTTCTTAAGGATCTTAAACATGCTTGCACCCCCTGAACTTACCCATCATCCTAGGTAATTAACCTCTAGGAAATTTTCTCTAAATTTGACAGAGTATGCTCTCATAGACTTCAGAGAAGGCAGTCAAGACAGAGCTGGAAAATGTGCGGAAACCACCAAAATAATTCTCTAAGCTGTGTATTACACTTTCATTGCAGTATTACACCTGCAAGAATTTGAATATTCACAAAACTCCTGCAACAAATTAGTGAATACACAAAGTGAAAACAAAAATTTTCACCATCTGCTGGTAAACTGCATCCATTTTCCTGTCGATAGCATAAGAGTTAACAAATCTCTCAAATCCGTAAATTCACCCACTTCTTGAGCATCTTAAAAATGCTTGCACTTGCAAATTTCCCAACAGCGAGACGACCGCAACTGAATTTTATCAGTGGTGACTGTCTTTTTTCGCATTCAGACTGCATTTATAATCCAAATCGCATGACAGTTCGCATATTCATAATCAGATTACAAAGTATAAATAAGCAAGCACGATGACAAATTCGTTCGATTTGCTGCCATTCGTCACAGACGACGTTTTGTTTGTTCTCGGAACAGCTGTGTGCTGCTCGTTGCCGAGAATTAGTCATTGGTACGCCTGCCTATTGTATTAGTCTCCAATTTCCACACAGAATTGGTTACGTCACTAATTGAGTTCTACTGAACATCAGACCAACATGGAACTGTTGTCTACGATGACAGTTTTTTGCACATTGCTTTCAAGAGGACAGTCTAATGGAAATCTGATCCGCCTTCACTTTTCTGCTGTGCTGGAAATTGCTCAAATTTTCATGATAACGAATATCACAACGATTATGAATGCTGCCTTATTATGAGTGAGTGTGAAAGTGTGAAAGCGCAAGATGTGAAAATAACTGATTATGAATGAAGAAGCCAAACTAAAAGAACAAAAGTTTAAAGAAATCTAGAGGAAGAGTCTCAAGACATGAATTGGATCACGAAAATATTGAAACGTGACGAGCAAGCAGCAGAAAATGAACAAGCACAACAGCCCGTGCAGGTTGCGCTTGTTACCTCATGCAGCAATAATCATCAGTTTCGATAATTGAACACAGAACTGAGTTTGCGTTGTTAAACAATTGCAAACTTGTGCTTCGCTTAGAAATTTTCAAATTATTGCAGAGAGAATAATAAATTCACTGTTGGTTGTTCGTTCTTAAAACGGTCTGTTCAAATCACTTTCCCCTCACTTTTCATGATAAATATAGCATTGTGTAGCCATCGTATAAGTAATCAGATAGCGCTATATAATCGAAAAGATTTGAAAAAGTCGAACTCGTTTCAGGTGCCCCAGGTGCCGGGCGCAGCACCCGGAACACAACCCGCCTATACGGGTGAACAAATGAAGAAAGCTCTGGCCGCTTACAAAGAACGCAAAAAGGCTCGTCAAAAAGCACGAGAAGAAGAGGCCAGATATGTGGAATTTCGAAAAGCCGAAATCCTGGCCAAGTTTCATCCAACCGTTGGAACGCTGCGTACTGCGGATGAGTTAAGTGAATGTTACCAGTGCCTACCTACTTTCTGCACAACGTCCTCCCGAAATCACATCAGTGAGCTTAGAAGTTTCAATTGATTCAAATTCATACAAAGGTATCAAAACAATTCGCAAGACAATGATAAGGAATACAATCAAGAAATGCAGAGACAGTACTTTTCAAGTTTTGAGATCTTCAGATCAAGAGCTCAACAAAGTCTTCAGCTTCAAATCATGAATCAGCATCTTCAAATCAGCAAGTTTAAATTTTGGCTTAAGCTTTTACAAGAAGAATTTCAGAGTGGTTCGTTCGATTGGCTGTGGGTTCGATTCACACTTGAACTGAGGGTTCCAATTAGCTTTTTTTTAAATTTTAGGTGTTTCCGAAACGACGACGTGGATCGATGGGGTTCGGTGAACGAAAAGCGCATTATTTGTCCATAAGACCTAAGCCGATCTATGCAACCTGGTTGGGTAGACGT